TCGTGCCGCTGCAGCAGATCTTGGGCCTGCTTGTGGCGGGCCTGGGCATCTGCGTCAGCTGCGGCCTGAAGCCGCTACTTTTCAGCCGCTGCCTCCGCTTCAGCCTGTAGGCGGGCAGCTTCGGCTGCCGCCTGGCACTGTTCCTCAGCCTCGATCTGTGCGAGCTGATCTTGGATCCGCTGTCGGAACTCGGCAATGGACTCACTGGCCAGTTGGCCTGGCATGCCCAAAACTGAAACTGTCATGGTGGAGGGGCACTGCTGACGTGTCACTGGTGCTGTTGTGGCACTGCTGCTGCTGTCGTGGCACTGCTGCTGATGTGGCACTGCTGCTGATGTGGCACTGCTGCTGACGTGGCACTGCTGTCATGGCACTGCTGCTGACGTGACACTTACCAAACCGGGAACGCAGGCAAAGGGCTGGGTGGGAGGGAAACGCAGGAAGGTAACCAAACTGCACTTTCCATTCCCGGTCCTAATCAACAGAACAAAATAAAAAAATAAAAGAAGAGGATCCCCCCCTTTTTGTTTTTCCTTTTTTTTTTTGGAATATCTATCGATCGGCTATTAGTGAGGCATTACGGAGGAGTGCTATGAGCGAGATCTAGGCAAGGTTTCGCAAAGTTTCGGCTTTCAAAAAAAGTGCGATCTTGATTTTTTTTTTTGCTGGAAATAGAATGGAGGTTCCACTTTCAGAGAAGAATCGATCCAGTTTACCTCCCTAGTTCACCTAATATGCCCAGAGTGAAAAAAAAAACGAAATGCTAATATCCAAATTTCTGGAGATTTGTTGCAAAAAAAAATCTAATTTGCAGGGATTTGACGAAACCCTACTTGATTAACCAATAAACAATCAATCAATCAATCAATCAATCAATCAATCAATCAAGCTGGCTCCTTGATTGGACAGATCCTCTGATTGAGAGGTCCGCTCCGATACCAAACTGTCACATACCGTAATGGTGCAGACCAGAACAAGAACCGACCTCTTACGTAGTACAGGATAGCGCAGCGGAAGGCTAAAATACCAATGATCAGACCGCTCAATGTCGCAAGGTAGACCAAACACACGTCATCATCATCGCAGGGTGTGAAGGGGCCTGGCGCTACACACAGGAAGAACGCGCCGGGCTCAGATCATACGCAGATGAAGAGGAGAGGGGATCAAACGAAAGGGAGGGAGGAGATGAGAATGTCGTCAACACCGATGTCGTGGATATTGATCCCAAATAGTCTCCCATCAATGTCTCTGTCCCAAGGTTGCGTCTGTATCCAAATCTCTCTCTCTCTCTCTCTCTGTCTGTCTGTCTCTCTCTCTCTCTGTCTGTCCCAAGAGTGCTGCTGCCGAGGTCCGAAGACTGCCTCCTGGACTGCCTGCTGCCTCCCGGGCGGACCAGCATTATAAAGCGCTGGTCCGGCTGGGAGGCTGCTCTTGCCAATGCCGGATGGCACCAGTCACTGGCACTCAAGTTCAAGAAAAGGTTGTCTTGAAAAGGGCCTAAAAATGGCCTGCGCTCATCCCTGGTCTGGCACCTAAGTTCGGAAAAGGGTCAACTTTAAGAGGGCCTAAAATTGGCCCGTCTTCTTAGGCTGAACCTACGCAGGGCCTGGAGGGCCCTTACTTGTTCCGCCTGGTTGGGCCCTGAGGGGCCCGTGTGGTGCACAGTATGCCACACGTGCTCAACCAACTGAGCTAGCCCACTTGGTCTCTGTTTTCTCCTGTCCAGTATATTCGAAAGGAGAAAAATCTCTTAGAACAATGGAACACAGTTCTTCCCCCCCCCAACCCCCCGGCCGCTTAAAATCTAGGCTACCAGCTGGCGGCCCGGGTCACCTTGTTTGCCCGGGCAGCCCGGCCGGGCAAGGGCTAAAGTAGGTCCCAGGCTCCCAGCCAAAAAAAAAAAAATGAAGAAAAATGAACTGAACAACTTTTGGCTCAGGGTCACATCGAAATTCTGTAGCAAATATATATATGCAAGGAATATAAGCGAGAGCGGTATACGGAAAACTGAGTTGCAAAGCCATTGCAAAGCCACACAGAAGTCCAGATAGTCATGTAACAAGCAGAGAGCTCAAATGCACCAAGATTCCATCCAAATAAGAGCGATACCCAATGTCCAAGCCCTCAGGCCACACCAACGCAGTATTCACTGTCACTCCTACTCTCTGTTGCCCAGCGCCCAGCCTACCCTACTCATCCTACCTAGCCTACCTACGTTCTTGCAACAGGCTCACTTCGACACTGAAGACCAATGTACATGACGTCAACACCAATGCCGACCTCCCACATACACCACGTACGTACTCTCCACTCCCCTCCTCAGCCTTGTCCACCCACGCAACTGTGCCTCCTTCCTGAAGACCAGTGCCGCTCATCACCCCCTTTCGCCCTGCAGCCCGGCTATGGCCGCTAGCGCCCTGCGCGCACCCCAGCCAGCGCTAGCGCAATGCAGACACTTGCGCTGAATCGCGGCAGCGTGTCCGAATTGCCTGCCTAGGCCAGAATGCCCAAGACTGGCTGGCCTCCTCCCTATATGGGAGATGCTGCTGCTGGTGGACTCTCTGGGCCTGGCCGTGGAAGTTTCCAGTAGCTTCTGGTCAGGCCCCAGTGTTGGCGCCCATGCCCGTGTCTACAGTTGAGGGCCTGGGCACTTTTCAGTTGGGCACACCCAGGATTATCCAGGCTCCAAATGTTTACTGTATTCGCATTGGCCCGTGGGATAGATGTGACGACAATGCTGCATTCTCATTGGCCCGTGGCCACTTCGTGATGTGTCAACCTCACACTGCGTGTGCCCAGGGCACAACCACGTGCGTCCTGGGCTCAACTGCCTGACGCAGCTGCTTCTTCTGGAAGAGCCCAGGGAGACGCCCAGGTTGCACTTCAACCAACTGGCGTGCAGCAACTATCTGAGGTCCACATTGGAAAATGCTCAGATAAGGGCCTCTCGTGAATATTCAGGCCCACCTTCACTTAGGGCAGGCACGAGGCTTGCTGGGGGCCACAGACCAGAACATATGCATGTTGTCTAGGGCCCCATGAGGACACATTCCTCACATATGTATATGGTGATATATATAGTCAAACACAGCTGCCTGGTATATATTTTTATTTTTAATTTTGTAATTTGTTTCTGCCCGGTCTGGCAAGTGGTCCCGGGCCACTCTGTTAGCCTAGCTCAAAATTCAAATTTCCGTTTCCAATCAAGGATAGAGGCCGGGGAACCTAACCATTACTTCTTGGAACACAGTTCAGCACACATGACCCGCTTCGCCGCGGAACATGTTAAGCATCATGACACTCCTTTATTCTGCAGTGTTATCTTCACATCTTCAGATCTTCTATTTCTTTTTTGTTGCTCATTTCACGACCACTGCCAAAATGGTGCGACTGGGTTGACTTTTAGCGACTAAAATAGTAGTAGCGTAGGTGTATGTCATCAAATGTGTTGTCTCTAGAGCGGGCTGAGCTGCATTGGCAGGCTTCTAAAGCGAGTTGGGCATCTCAATGTGCAATTGCCTGGAGGAATTCTTTCTCAACTGCATGTACATCTTGGTCGAGTCTAAACCCGTTTTAACTTTTAAGGGATATGGCTGTCTGTGTGCCATGTGCGAGGATCTGGTCCCCGGCAGGCCTAAGGGGCCGCTTGCTGCAGAAGTACCCGCCCTAAGTGAAGTCGGGCCTGACAAAATCACTAGAGGCCCTAAGCTGTCAAAATCGTATTTGGGGTCCAGGCAGTTCCGTCGCACCAGTTGGTTGAGGAATACACAGGACGAGCAGTGAGACATTCCATGGCCTTCCAGGCCTTTCCAAAATGATGCAGGCCCTGGACGAGAATCACAGCCTCACACAGACAGTTGGGAGGGCCAACCGAATGAGGCCCAGTAGTTGCAAGAGAGGCGCAGCATCCTGGGGCCTACCGGAAGCTTCTGGGCCCAGGCTCAAGCCAGCCAGGCCGCGAAGACAGGCAGGCTCTTTCCATATAGGAAAGAGCTCACTGCCTGGATTGTCATTCGGGGACTTGCTGGCTGGCGGCAGCGCTGCTGGAGCTCATGCTCACGTGCTGGTTGCTAGCGCTGGAGCAATGTGCTGTGCACGTGCGGTCGTATGTGGAAGCAGGGCGCTGCTGAGGGCAGCGCCATAGCCCAGCCTCCATAGGTGGCTGAGGGCTTGGATGTACAGTGAGGCACAGGGGTGGTCTTCGGGTTTGAAGAGGGAAGATGTGGGTGTCAGACAAGGGAGAGAGAGAAGGACGATGATGATGACGATGTGAGAGCACATACCTGGTATTGGCGGTGGTCTGCTACAGGCAACAACTTCAAGTACTTCGTTGGCTGCGGACATCAACAGTTGCATGGTCAATTAGTAGGCTAGTAGTAGCTGTTTAGCGAGCAGGCTGGGCGCCGAGCGCCAAGTAGGGAAAAGGACCTGGATACATACATATGTTGGTGGTGGCGAGAGCAAGCTCTCATTGACATTGGTTTTCAGTGTTACGATTCTCCATTGGTGTCATATTTGTGCAATGCTGCTTTCTGAACACTGGGATACGATCTGGCTTTCAATGTGATTGTGCAATCTGAATATTGTCATCTCGCTATTGCTCATTTTCCTTGCAATGAGCACTGCTGCTACAGATGAAGGGCTTCTGGCATGAAAGATGATTGATAATCTGTCAGTGGACTGCTTGTATCTTTTCTCTCGTGAATGTGGATTTATATCATTTAAAAAGATTTTTTATTAAAAAAATCTCTCTTGTGTGGGACATCAACTGTTGATTTTTTTTTTTAATTTGACTTTAGTACACTTTACGATTAAAAACTGCAATAAAAAAAAGTTTAAAAACCAAATTTATGAGGATGTAAATTACCCTCTCGACCAACGGGCCTAGCTCAGTTGGTTCACCAATGAACTGGTGAAATACAGGCCCGAGTTCAAATCCAACAAAAAAGGAAACAAAAAAAAATCACCGTCGCTCTGTTGGTTTGGGCCTTATTGTGCAGGCTCTGGAGTGTCTTGTCCGCCTGGCATCAGTCCGGCGATCATTATTTGGTGGGGAGAAGGAGCGGACAAAGTTCCTATCACATTTGATGAGTGGAACTGGCAAGATTCTTGCAAATAACCAAGGTGAGTCCTAAACGCGGCCGCCTTTGCTGGTGGTGTATACCGCTTCACAAGTATGCTATGCTGTTGGCATTGGTGTCTTTTCTTTTTTTTTCTTTTTTTTTTCTTTTTTAAGGGGGCGTTGGTGGTTTTGTGTAGGGTTGGTTGCGTTTGGATCAAGTGTTCTGCCATGAAAATTCGTCTCTTGGGATGTCAATTAGATGGAGATGAGGTAATCCGTTCACAAATTCGCAATTGAATACACCTGTTGAGGGGTTAGACGGTACATTTAAATAAATGGAATACACCTCTTGAGGCATAGTCGGTACAGTTAAATAAGATGCTGTGTGTTTATTAAACTTGATTCTGTACTATATTCTGGGATGGCTGTCTGCAGGGCTTGGGGAGTATGCAAACTACAATGAGTTTTGTCGCTTGCTAGGGAGGCTGAAAACAAACTATCAGGTACGATTCCCCATTGTCCCTTGTTCTGCTGGTCTCAAGAGTTGGACACGCACTTCATCCCAGCGAAGCGGAAGATAATAAAAGCAGTTAAGGGGTGGTTCTTTGGAGCAAACGTGTACGGAGTACTACGGACCTTGCATTGCATGCACTTGACTGACAACATAGCGCCTTTGGCCCTGAATGGAGGCTTCAAAGTAAGATGGAGGGGTCAAAGTAAGGGTGCCTCATTTCACCTTTGCGGCAATTGTGAAAATGACTAATGTACTGTGTGGAAAAGTGTGAGAAGATACATTTGCCTGTTTCAAATTCGGCGAGTGGTGTAATGTGGGCCTCGAGGTGCAAGGTCAGCTGTGAATAAAACCCTAGGCTTCCCTGCAAACAGCCTTATGGTCCCATGTGCATCCTGGACTGGGAATGTAAACGAATCCTAACCTGACTCGTGTCAAATCCAGATACTGTCTGGATATTCCCATCTGGGGGTAGCACGCTTTGCGAGCAGCTTCCCAGAGAGAGAGAGAGAGAGAGAGAGAGAGATGATCATATTCAATTGGGGTTCAGGTTTGGGAGGGGCAGGGGGGGAAGGGGGAGCAGAGTCGTTATAAGAGGGGAGGGGAGTATAGGGGGAATGCCAGAAAGCTCACTCTAAATGTGTCCGTTGGCTGCACACACGCGCACACACACACACACACACACACACACACACACAC